ATATTTCCCAGTATAACTCCCATTTTCCATCAAATCTCACTGTAGTACTATACTTTATAACAAAGGCACTTAATCAAAAGTAACTGACAATATTATGAAACATTTATAATCTGTAGTCCCATTTCATCCTCTTATGAATACGTCATTGAAATTTCCTTTCCATTTATTTGAATATTTTGAATTTTCCAAAATTGAAATTTTCCCTTTGAAACTTTCCAAATTTGTTGTTTATCATTAAAATTGTTCAGTTTAACCATTGTGCATTTCAGAGTTCAAAGCAACACTTTTTTCCCCCATGGAGGTAATTTATGGATTTTCTGAACTGATGCTTTGTTATCTGTATTCAGAAGTTCTGGGAAGCTTTCTTATATCATTTTCTACAATATAGTAGTTAGGGTTTTCAATGTAAAAGAAATCACATGGTAACTATTATGTATTTAAAAGGAATAACAAGTTCTACATAATAGATTTGCAGTTTCATGAACAGTCATCTTTTTCTTTCTATTATACTACATTATGAAATGCTTTTTTATTTCTTAAGTTCAGAATAAGATAATTTTTTTAAAAAAGAAACTACAGGGAATCAGCTAAGAAACTAATTGAGACAAGTAGTAACATCAGGAAAACAGTAGGATGAAAATAAATCCACAAAATAATCACCATTTTGACATACTACTAAGAATAAATAAACAGAAGGAAATGGGAGAAAGATAAATTTCATTTAAAGTACTTCCAGTTATTTTAACAAGACACAGTAAGTAATTGTTTGAATGAAAAGTCACGTACTGTATCAAGCCAGACACTGTATTAAATTATGGGAGTAAAAATACTGAAAGGAGGATAGTCTCTGATCTCAAGACACATAATCTAAAACAGAAAGATAATCTATCTGTCTGTCTATCTATCTATCTATCTATCTATTTATGTATCTATGTATCTGGGAATGGTTGCCAGAGAGGAGTGTTTTGGTTTGGGAAGCCACAGGGATGATAAGTGGAGTAATAGGTGATTAATTAACATGCCTTTTCTGGGAATGATGGTATTTCTCGTACTATGACAAATAGTAATGAAGAGAGAATTATACTTGCTTTGCCACTATTCTCATTGAAAAAAGCTAGTATTCCTTCCTTGAGAATACTTCTAGGTCTTGATTTTAGATAAATGCTTTTGATCATACTAAAAAAAAAGTCTACTGATACACTTTTAAAGGATTTTTAACATAATTTATCACTTTATTTTAATACTGTCTTTTTCTTTTCCTATAGATATAATCATGTGATTATATATATATATATATATTATATACATATATAATTTAAATTATGTGGTTAGTTATGCTTGATACTTCTCTAAAGTTGAATCATTCTTATCCCAATAGAAATCTAACACAATCCTAATTACATCTACATACATACACACATATTCATATTTATATACTAAAATGTTGCTTATATAAATGTTGCATATGTATATATACACATATATAATGTAGTCTCTAAAGTTTTATTTAAATTTTGAATCGATAGTCATTAGCGAAATTAGTGTATAATTCTCTTACTCTAATTTTTTTTCTTCCTGATTTCTGTATCATGAACCTATTTTTATGTCTTACAAAAAGAATTTGATGGAATGTCTTCTTTCTCAGTTTTTGAATATTAATTACACTTTAAATATTTAAGATAAATCACATGTAAATCTACTTGGACAAGTTATTTTTTAAAAATTTACTAGTTCATTTAGAGCTTATTTAATTTCTTTTTTTTGAGTTTGGGTTTTTTATGCTCTCTTTGATCTCTAGTTCCTTTTTTTGTGGTTTATTTAAGTGTTTTGTAGAAAATTATTTATTCCCTTTAAATTTCCAATTTATATGGTTTGTAATTGTTTCTGATAATCAACTTTATTAACTTTCAGCTTACTGTGAATTTCACCTTAATCTTATTTGAGTTTTGCAATTTGATTTTTCTTTCCTGTAAAAACAAATCAGTTCATGGGTTGTTTCATAGGTAGGCAATGTGTAGGTTGGATTCATTAGCACACATGGCACAGAGTTTAAGCTTGCTATGATTTACCTATTTCATTAGTCTCTTGAGTTTATCTGTTTTATAGACTTTTGTTTTAAAATTTTTTATTACTCTTCTAATTTTCAAGATTTTTTAAATTCTGTGTTTTTAGGGTGTTATATTTATTTTCTAGTTTTATGATTATATTTAATTCATTATTTCTCTCTTTTAATTTGCTAGTTATTTTGTCAGGTAGATAAATTTTCCTCACAAGACGGCTTTATTTATATCCTGTGAATTTTATTATGTTGGTTTACTGTTATCATTCTCTTTAGCATAGTAATTATTTCTATGATTCATTATTTGACCCATTTATCTTTAAAAATGCCATTATTTTCTATTTTTAAGGTCAATATATTTTGCTTGTTTCCTATATTTATTTATTTGGGTTTCCATTTCAGTTTTTATTTTTAAAATGTATTATTTATTTTTAACATTCTTTTCTTTTTAAATTTTGAATTCCAAATTCTATCCCTTCTTCATTCACCTTACTGTGCTCAATGAAAAGACAAGCAATATGGTATCAATTGTATATGTGAAATCATGTAAAACATTTCCATATTAGCCATATTTTTAAAAAGCAAGAAAAGTAAAGTGAGAAAATTATACTTCAATTTGTACTCAGTGTTCATCAGGTCTCTCTCTCTATTCATTTATCAATTGGGGAAGGGCTCTTACTTTTGTAAACCTGTATCAGTTCTAAACTAGTGTATATTTGAGAAATGAGGCCTTTATCATAGAAACTTGGGAGAAAACAGAGGAAATTGATATAGAATGGGTATGTTAAGTGAGAGTCCAGAGATAACTGAGAGGCAAAAAATACAGTGAGAGAGTCTTGGTGTGACACAATAGGGTAAAGCCTTGGTATGAAGGGAGATAACCTTTTCACAGAACACAGATAGTAATAATTGGATACTCCAGTCACACTAGTTCAAGTTGATCAGTCATTTTAAGAGGTGAAGATCAAAATGAACATTGTACCAAGACTTGTTTTGTGCTGTTCTTTAAAGGATGGGGGAAAGGGAAAAATACCAAATTATTCAAAGGCAAATGCTAGTTTTGGAGTAAGAGAATCTGTGCTCAAATCTTGGCTCTGCCACATACTACTTTTGAGACCTCAGGCAAGTCACAACCCTTCTAGGCCTTGGTCTCTCATCCATAAGGTGAGAAGGGGGAGCTATATGAAATCTAGCTATTTATATCCTATCATCTCAATTAGGTAGTATACAACAATTAATCCAGTAACAACCTTCTGTCTCTTTTCAGAGTCAAATGATCAGACCATTCTCAGGGCTTGTCTGATATTGGACTTCATTGATACCCTACTCTCATTAAGAAGTAAAATATCATCTGAAGAATTATCCATTCCTGCTTCCTAACTTCTTCTTTCCTCTTGAGTACCTGTGTGTTGCTTTCTATCCTCATGTTTTATCAGGTGCCTCCATGGCAAAACCCTCAACAAGAGGTGTGGTTTTCTCCAAGTGGTACAAATCTTGTTATATGAGAACTGGTGTTTAGGAGAGAGGGAAGGAGAGAGAGAGAGAGATGGTATTGGAAGGTGGACATTACTGTCGTATTTCTAATTTCTTGTCATTAGTCTGAAATTCTCTTTTTATCCGTGTATATAATTCTTTCTCTTGATTTAAACATTTTTGTCAAAATTCTTATACCTTCCCTATAATATTCACATATTTCTGTGTTTGTCTGAAATACTGAAATATTTATTGCTTTATTCAATTCATGTAACAATCAGTGTCCTTTATTCTGTTTGAGGTTTTTGTTGTATGTTTTAAGTTATAATTTTCCATAGAATTATGTCCATATTGATTAACTCACATCACAAAGTGCCTAGACCAAAAACCCACCCACATCATTGTTTAATATTTGTAAATGATTAATGGTAGTGACAAATCAAGAGCTTTGTCACCTAAGGCAAGTCATTTAACCTCTTTGGGACTCAGTTTCATCCACTGTAAGATGAGGGGTTTGAACCAATTGACCTATATGGTCCCATCCAGCTCTGTAACTTTATTGAGAACAGCATTGTTCACCGGCATAAATATCTTATAGAAAGAGTGTGAAGAAATCCTGTGTGGTTGCAAACTTTGGGGAGTGAAATTATTGAAAAAAATTCTGTGATTTCTGACTTGTACCATACCAGAAGACTTTCAATTAGTAAAGATTATTCAGTAGACAGAGCAGGTCTCAAATCTTAGCTGATGGAATGATTTTCTTTAAGTTATTCAAGGTGTAAGACTATACCAGGAGTGGTGTGTCTTCCTATTCAGTGGCACAGTGTGGAGAAAACACAATGAATATGACCTTGTGGCCACAGGACCTATATTCAATGCCTAGCTCTGTGACTTACCACCCATGTGATTTTAGCCAGGTAACTTCAACTCTCTTAACCTCATTTTTTGACATCTCTGAAATAAGGGTGTTGAATTAGCTGACTTCCAAGCTCCACTTCAGCTCTAAATACTGTGATTCTAGGTAGCAGCACACAAGAGCTTCAGTATAACCTAGACTTTCCACGTGAAATGATGAAGACTCTCGCAAGATCACATAAATTCAGAATGTTAACCTGATATGTTTTATGGAAGCTTCTGTAGCTTATACAAGCAATTAAAGGCGGTTATTTCCATATGAGGTAGTATGGAATAATGGATAGAGATTTGGCTTCAGAGAGGGCTAGACCTGATGTATGAGCTGTGTGACCTTGGGTAAATCACTTAACCTCTTGGTTTTCAAGGCAACTCTCTTAAGACTGTAAGTTTCAGAGAAGACATTGACTTGTAAAGATAGAGGGAGTTATCTTATATGGAAATTTCCTATATCAGTGAAATAGCAGGTCCAATTCATACCCTTAGACCTATTTATGCAAGGATTCTTACTTTTACTTGACCAATCATTGAGTCAACAGAGTTCCCAAAAGGAAATTCACATTGAGAAGTAACTTTTCTTCAGGACTTTCTTGATAGCCTCTTTCACCTCTTTGTTCCTCAAACTGTAGATAATGGGGTTCAGCATAGGGGTAACCACAGCATACAAAACAGTGAGTAATTCATCTGAAATCTGAGTTTCTTTACTCTTGGGTTTCATGTACATGAAAATAATGGTCCCATAAAATATAATCACCACAGTTAGGTGGGCTGAGCAGGTGGAAATGGCTTTCTGTCTCCCTTCTGCTGAATTCATCCTCAGAATGGTGGAGAGGATGAAAATATAAGATATGAAAATCAACATCACTGGAATGGGCAGGAGAATTATGCTGCCCACCAGCATGATAATTTCATTGAGGGAGGTATCAACACATATGAGCTTCAAGATGGCCAAGATTTCACATGTGAAATGGCTGACCACCTTGTGTCCACAGAAAGGCATCTGCATTGCAATTACTGTCTCCATAATGGATTTCAGTAAAGATAAGATCCAGGAGAAAGCAGCCATCCCTAGGCACACTCTCTTGTTCATAATGATGGAATACCTCAAAGGGTGGCATATTGCAACATAGCGGTCATATGCCATCATGGCTAGGAGAATACATTCTGTCGATCCCATGGAAAGAGAGAGGCACATTTGCACAGCACAGCCAATGAAAGAAATTGTTTTTTCTTTAGACAGGAAGTTCACCAGCATTAAAGGGATAAAGGTTGATGTGTAACAGATGTCCAAGAAAGATAGGTTACTGAGAAAGAAGTACATGGGGGTGTGGAGGTGAGAATCCAGTATGCTGATGGCAATGATAATTCCGTTACCCACCAGGGTGATCAGGTACATCACCAGGCACAGCACAAACAGGAGGCTCTCCAATCTGGGGAAGCTGGAAAATCCTTTCAGAAAGAATTCGATGATAATGGTGTCATTGATTGTTTCCATTTCATTGTCCCCCCCTTGCCTGCAGAGATTTGGAGAAAGACACAACTTATTATGTTTTTTTTTTTAATGGCAGGAAATACTGGTGGAACTATTGAAATTTCCCCAGAATCTCTGGCCTAAGAATGTTGTCTGTTTTCTCAGGCCTGAGAAAATATTTTCACAAACCCTTAATTTTGCAAACCTGGGAAACCCACAAGGGAACATTAGAGAGGGAACTATAGGAGGGGGAGGGGAAGGGCTGCTCACTGGTCCGCAGTTCTTGCATTATTCCAGGTCTTTAAAGGGACAGGATCAGGGAGAGAGAGCACAGAACTGTAAAGTTAACCTAGATGTCTTTTTTGGAATGCAGATTTCTTTCAGAATTCTTTACATAAAGTGGAATTTGTATAATTTGAATTTATGTAAAGCAAGAACTCTCTGATATACACATACATACATGTTTACATACATACATTCTATCTGTGTAGCTACATATTATCTATCTAACAAATTCACAGTCTCTAGCTTAAGAATTTCTGATGTTGACCAAAGCATGATTAGGATAGGGTTGAAGGTGTGAATTGAGAGAAGCCAAATGAGCAGAAAGAAACTACTTTAGTGGAAGGCCATGTATTTAGGAAGACATCAACCAGTCTATTGATGTCTCCAAGTATGAGGGAAAGAGTAGGGTGGAGAGGAAGATTGTGATCCAAGCACTGAACTCTTTGTGTTTTTGTTTTTTGGCAATTGGAGTTAAGTGACTTGCCCAGGATCACACAACTAGTAAGTGTCAAGTGTTTGGTCTGAGGCCGGATTTGAACTCAGGTCCTCCTAACTTCAGGGTCTGTGCTGTATCCACTGCACCACCTAGCTCCCCCAGAACTCTTTGAAAAAGGAAAGAAACTCAGGGATAAGAAGGCCTTGGTTCAAATTTCACCTCAGAAAAGAATGAACAACATCATCAAGAGCAAGATACTTAACCTCTCTCAGCCTCAGTTTCCACATCTGTAAAATGGGGATAATAAGTCCTATTGTACTCACAGGGATATTGTGAGGATTATGTGAGATAATACATACATAAAAGAACTTGCAAAACATACAGATGCCAAACAATTTTAGTATTTGGATAGAGTGACGTATTTACTGAGTGGTGGTAGAGGAAGGTCTGGAAGTGCCAATGAAGAATAACAAGACTGCCTTCCCTGCAATAGGGTTTTAAGAGGCATGAAAGGAATGCCCTTCTTCTATAGGAAGCAACATTTCCCTTAGTGCAAAAAGATTGTAAGGTAAAAATGAACATTAGAAGAAGAAGCTTAAGACAAAAATTTTTTTTTTTGTTATAAGGGGTTTCTAGAGGACACAATGAAAGCAGCAGGGAGGGTAAGATAGGAGGGCGATGGCTATGTTAGTAAAAAAACTGAAGGGGGAGATGGTAGTAGAGGAAGGGTACTTTTGCCCAAATAGTCTTTTCCTCTGAATCATAGGAAATTGAAGAAGAGGAGAAAATAATTGGCTAGCCATAGGTTAGTAGGTTTTCTTATTCTTGCTTCTACCACTACATTTCTGTTATGATCCACTTATCTGAATTTTCCCTAGGTTCCACAATTCCTTGTTATGGTTCTGTATCCAAGTAATTATAGCTTTTTATACTTGGCTTTGAGAAGGGAGTAAAAGGTTGGAAAATGGCTTTCTATTTCCTTAAAGTGCTGAAGAAAAAAAAAACTTTCTAGCTTCCTTCCTTGTCTTTGGACTTGAGAGGGCATTATTACACATACCTTTGAGGTAATCTAGAAGATGCACCTTCTTGATTAATGAGATCAATACTGTCAGGGCACTGCCTACACATAGTTCCTGCATTATCTGGAGCAATGGTTGCCTATGTATAATCAGACCTTGGGAAATCCAAGGTTATTTGCCCAAAGAAGGAACACATACATAGAACTCTAGTTAATCTGTCTGATCCCTGAAGGAAAATACAGAGACCAAGCATCAGTAGAAAGAAATTAGCAAGGAGGAAGAAAAAGAAGGAGGTGAGACATTTCATCAATGAATATATTTAGAGGTAGTGTGGTCTGGTACAGGAGCCCAGTGGGAAAAAACGGATTTAGGAGATCTGGATTATAGTCCTGAATCTGACATTTCCTAATTAAGTGACCATGAGATAGTGATATAACCTAATAAGTCATAGTTTCTTCATTAATAAAATGGGAATAATAATATTTATACTATCTATATCAGGGAGTTGTGTGGGAAAAATACTGCATAAAACTTAAAGCATTATATAAAGGAATTATTATCATTATTATTATTTGTCCTCCTGAAATTAAACCAATATCCTTTGTTAACTGTAACTGTTGAAAACAGAAACTTGGTCTTTGTTTATTATAATTGAATTTCTCTTGTCATATTGTCACCAAAAATTAACTAGATATTTACTAAAGATTAATGAGAAAATAACTTTTCTGTTTACTTTCCTATTCTAACAAATGCTACCCACCTCAAGGATTAGGGTCCAGATGGCACACAGCATATGGAACTTGGAAACAAATGGGAACATATGGAAAGGGAAAAGATTGAGCATAGGCAATGGGGCTTAGTGGGGAAAGTTTGCTGACAATTGCAGAGGACTGTTTTCTGACACCAATTTCAAATGAACAGAGATAGCATGGTGTAGTGGGTAGAGTCCTACACTTGGATATAGGAAGAACTGGCTTCAAATTTTGCCTGAGACATTTAAAAGTTGTTTGACCATGGGCAAGTCACTTAACCTTTCAAAAGTCTGTTTTCTCATCTATAAAATGGGAGTAATAGTAGCATTAATAAACCCTCACAAGGCTATTACATAGAGACAATGCATATAAAGTGATTTGCACACCTTAAAGCACTATATTAATGTAACGTTTTAAAGCTTCATTCTCCTTTCCTAGTCTGCAAGAAATAGTTCATTCCAACCCCAGAGCCCCTCCATCCTCCATCTTCACCCATTTGCATTTGAGAAACTTACTTTCTTGCTCCAGCACTTTTTCTCTTGGCTGCCCTGAAAGACGAATGAGAAAAGGGATAAGTGAGTGTATAGGTGTCATCACATCACTACCCGAGGATACTCAATAGTACACAAAGTTGCTCTTTCTTCTCTCAGATCATCAGTTTTCACTCCCAAACAAGCCAAAGACACATATAGAGTGGTGCAGTTCTGCTCATCTTGTACAACTTTTCCTCTTCTCTGCAAAAACTTAAATATGTCTGTGTTTAGACAGCCACAAATGTATTGTGAATATCTCCCCACATTTACAGTTTATTTTTCCTGAAAGATTTTTGCCATCTTACTAAAAAAACATTTAAATTGCAAGTTTCAAAATGTTTAAATAATTTATTTTAACATTCTTTAATATCTAATAACTCCTGTGTCAAGGAAGATGAGGGAAAAAGTTAGTTATGTTTCTTGATCAATCAGTTAAGAAACATTTTTTAAAGCACATTCCATGTACCAGGCACTAGGGAAAGAAGTTTAACTCTGCAACTGGAAAAAATGTTGAAGGCAAACTGAACTTTAAATCTATAACTCATAGCACATGGTTATGATACCAAATTACAACTGACTACTGATTTACACCTGATCATTTTCCACTTAAAAAGAACTGACTTAATTGACAGACTCCTTCTTTCTCTTTCCCACTCCTCCCCTCTCTCTCTTTTCCCCTCACTCCTTTTCTTTTTCTTCTTCCCTCATTTTCTTTCTGTCTCTGTCCCTCCTCTCTCTCTATCTGCAAACTGATGCATAACAGCTAGAGGAGGAACCACTGCAGATATCTCACAAACACAGAAACACATGCACACACCATAGAACTCCAGAGTGTCGTGAGGTTCAAATGAGATAATGGACGTAAAGCTCTTTGCAAATCTTAAAACATTAGATAAATCCAAATTGTTATTATTATTACTATTATTATTATTTTTAAAGCCTCCAGCAATAAAGGAGTGTATTGCTAAATTTTAAGAAACAGGCTCTCTAGGGGGAAAAAAGTACATGTGCACACACTTTTAAGCTTAATTTGCAGTGCCATTTTCTTAAGTCTAGACCAGCACTTCTCAAACTGTGGGTCGCGACCCTCTATGGGGTCATGAAAAATTTGGCGAGAGTAAAAGGTTTCAAAATGCACAAGGACCAAAAGTAAATTCAAAATCAAATGCGTAATGAATCTGGGGTGTTTCTGGCAGCACTTGCCCATGTTGCATCCATCAAGTTCACTGTGGCCTTAGCTCTGAACACAAAGCATGAGCACTTTGCACTGCACATGCCTTCAGGCCATGCAATGCCAACAAAAGCTGCCAAAATGCAAAAAGGGGTCTTGAGTGGAAAAAGTTTAAGAATCCCTGATCTAGACCACAGGCAAACAAATAAATCAAGCCCCAATTTGTAGCAATTGCTGATCTGAGGTTTAAATACTCTCACTACAAATTTAATAATTGACTGTTACAGGTGGTTCTAGCTCAGCCCTCATTGAACTTACCCATTGTTATATGTCCTGGAAAGACCTCATACTGAGAACATAATAGATTGGTTGTTTTTTTTAAGTATTGAAGTTTACTTCTAAGAGGGGCAGGGGACCCCAAACATGTAGTTTATATACATAAAAGTGTGTATATTTATGTACCCAAGGGGACAGTAGAGTTTTGCCCCAACTCCATGCTGTCTAGGAATATTTTTCTGCTTTGAGGTGCCAATTAATATTTCAAAATAGTCTCTGTGTAATCATCTCAAAGATCCTCAAAGTTTCTAATACTTGCATATTTTAGCTTCCAGTGTTTACAACAGAGATAATTTAAATTCTATTCTAAACATGCCATGCCTTGAACCCAAATCACTCTGGCTCTTGGTCTCCCCACTTGGTCATTGTTTGGGACTTGATTGGCTCAGAGTGAATATAAATAGCAATGGTTTCTGTTTTGACCAGAAACCCTGAGAGTCTTCCCCTCCCAGATCAATTTTTTAACTGGGTTAAAGAGGCCATTCTCAGCCTCATTTCTTACCTATCCTTAATCACTGAATGGGTGTTGCCTCAGTCAAATTGACAACTGGGAAAGACCTTAGCTTAAAAAGGCCAAAGTCTCCCACTGCATCCTGGGCCATCTCCAGTTGTCCTGATCTATATCTTGTCAGTGGACCCAGATGGCTCTGGAGGAGAGAGTGAGGCTGGTGACTTTGCACAGACCTCCCTCACTTAAATCCAATTCACTTGAAAGTCATGGCATCAGCTTCCTGATGTCATGGTCCTCTTTGAGAATGAAAGGGGCATCTAGGTTGTGCAGTGGATAGAGCACCAGTCCTGAAGTCAGGAGGACCCGAGTTCAAATTTGGCTTCAGACACATAACACTTACTAGCTATGTGACTCTGGGCAAGTCACTTAACCCCAATTGCCTCGCCAAAAAAAAATGAAGGACAAACAAAAACAATACTTGGGGAATGACTCGTATTCTTAATAAATTTGACTCCATTCTCTATATATTTGAGATATGAGGCCTTTGTCTGAGAAACTGGCTACAGAATTTCCCCTGCCCCAATTTTCTGCTTTTCTTCTAATCTTGGCCACAATGGTTTCACTTACATAAAACCTTTTTAATTAATATAATAAAACTTATCTATTTTACATCCCACAATGCCCTCTCTTTCTTGTTTATTCATAAATTCTTCTCTTATCCATAAATCTGATAGGTTATATGTCCCATGCTCCTCTAATTTACTTATGATATCTCCCTTTATATCTAGATCATATATTCATTTTGACCTTATCTTAGTAGACAATGGAAGATATTGGTTTATACTTAGTTTCTACTGGATTGCTTTCCAGGTTTTCCAGCAATTTTCATCAAATAGTCAGTTCTTAGCCCAAAAGCTTATATCTTTGCATTTATCAAATACAGGGTTAACATAGTGTATATCTACTCTAGTCCACTGATTCACCTTCTGTTTCTTAGCTAATACTAGATAATTGTGATAATTACCACCTTATAGTACAGTTTAAGATCTGGTACTGCTGGACCTCCCAGTATATGTACTCTTAAAAGAAGGTTTCTTAACTTGGGGCACATAGACTTTCCAAGGAGTTGATAGATAGATTTCAGGGGATCTGTGGACTTGTATTCAAGTTTTCAACTCATATCTAAGTAGTACTTCACCAATCCTAATTTCCACTAACCTTTGTTTTCCTTTGTAATTCCTACATTTAAAAACAAAATTCTGAGAAAGGAATCCATAGGCTTCATCAGACGGCCAAGGATCGATGACATAAAAAAAGTTAAAGAACCTGTACTCTAACTGAAATTTCACATTTCCTTCAATTATTTTAAAAACATGGTTTTGAGAAGGGGTCTATAGGTTTCACCAGATTTCCAAAAGGGTCCCAGACACAAAAAAGTTGAAGGACTCTTGTTCACAAAGATTTCTTTCATTGAGTGGAAAGAGTTGCCACCTACATTTCCCAAGAAACAGCTAAACTATCCGGGAAGAAGGTACAGGTGACAATCCCACTACTAGTACACCAACCTGAAGACGATTCTACAGATGTGGCAGCAGGAGCAAGAGGTTTGTTTTCAGCTGATCTTCATATTTTAAAATACTAAAGAAGGCACCCCAAGAGTTGACTTGAGCAAGCCTTTTGAGCTACGTCATAAACCAGGAAGTTTATTGATAAAGGGAGAATATTCTATGTGAGCAGCAAAAACATTTCATTCCCTGGGCAGTTACTTAGTGGTTCTCTTTTAGGCTCCTCACAGTCTCCAGAGTTTCTGGACTGGTCTTAAACATGGAAGCCTTTCAAATCTCTTGTTGCTTTAAGGGACTTTGCTAGTCCGAGAGGCAACTTAAATTGGAAGCTGAAATGTGCAGAGCATAGAAACTTTGGGGGTGCTTCAGGGATATGTCTCAAAGACCCAATTACAAAGATTCAACTTTGAAAACTTAATTGGTACCCAAAAGAGGAGAAATATTATTGGAGAATATGGAGCTGAGGCAGAACTTCACTATCTCCATCCCATCCCAGAGCAGGGCAGATCCGTTTCTCACACAGGTCCCTTGAGGGCTCTGAGTCACTATTCCTGGTATCTTTAGAAAGTTGTGCTTCATTTGGAGGAATATTATTGTAAAAATACCTTTGCATTAACTTCCCTCAGTCAGCACAAAATATTTCAGCTTTTGGCAACTGTGAGAAAATGAGAGGGAGGTTGTTACCTTCTGTCTTGGTATTTTGATATTTTCTTTGCTATGTGTAAATCAATGGTAGACACTGGGGGTTTCACAAGTAAATAAGACAGAGTTCCTGTCTTCATATAGCCTATAATATAACAGGAGGAAATGAGCCAAATATATAAATGAATATAATAAAATATCAATGTTAAGTGCATAAGAGTGTTGTGAGATCAGATGAGGAAAATTAGTCTGAAAACTTCTCTGGGACTCAATTTCTTCTGTAAAATAAGAGGGTTTTGTTATATAAATAACACTTGGTTAGGAGTAAGGAGACTTGTGTTCTTGTCTTGGTTTTGGTATTAATGAATTGTATTTAATGAATTAAGAAACTCATTCAATTCCTTGGATCCTAGTTTCTTAATTTGTAAAATTAATAGTAATATTATCTCTAACAATATAATATAATTGCTAATAATAATAATTGCTTGCATTTCTCTTGCTCATAATTGTTAACAAAGTATTTTCCTCACAAGAGGAAAGGTAAACAATTAAAATATTATTATTCCCATTTTATGTATAAGGAAACTGAGGCTCCAAGAGCTAATTACTTTCCCAAGTCCAACCATTTGTTAAACACTTGCTATGTGGAAGTCAATGTAACAAAGGCCCAAATGATAATTCTCCCAGTGTTATTATAAGACTTTTAGAGAAAATGAAACAAAACAAAGAAAAAAGAAAAACAAAACAAAAAACCTCATGATAATCACCAAAGAACTGAAAAAGACTTTCGATATTTACAAATATTGTATGCAATCTCCCCTCTCCATGCCTTTGCAGAGGCAATCCCCCCTGCCTAGAATGAATTCCTCACTTCCTTCAAAACCCTGTTCAATCAATACATTCTATACAAAGTCTTTCTGCATCCCAATAGCTAGCATCTCATATCTACCTTATATTTATTTTCTTTTTATTTTCCATATGCTTATACATGTACATATTGTCTCATCTGTAAGCTCCTTGAGAATGAGGATAGTTCCACATTTTGTCTTTGTGTCTCCAGTGTCTAACACGTAAGGAAGTGATTAACAAATGCTTGCCAAATAATTGGTAGGAAATAGGGAACCACCAAAGATTTTTGAATAGAACACTGGCTGTGCACAGAAAGATTACATTAGAAAGATTATGTTAGTAGCTGTATGAAGGATGGATTGGAGATGGGAGATGTTGGAGGAAGGAAGGCACTGGACATGTCTGTAGCTAGCATATCTCTACCTATTTTATACAGTACTCAAAGAGGTGTATGGGGTATATGAGAACTAGCACCTTTGGGGTGAGGGCTTCCAAGTGCTTTTCAGGGATGCTCATCCACCTCTGTCTACGTGACACTCAACTCTCACCTGTACCTCTAAGAAGCTGTAGCATGTGCAGTCACAGTGGCTACACCCTGGTAAGCCATTTTGGCAGACAGGCTAACCCAGGTTGAGGGTAACCAAACCGGTTGGTGAGTTAAAGAGGTGTTTACCTGAAGCATGTGAAGACTTCCTCCCATGGAATGAACAGACGAGGAAAATTTGTTCCAATAGCCATGAAGGCAGCTGAAGCAGGTGCTGTGGAGTACTTAGAGCTTGGTCAGACATTGAAGACACTAAGGTCATCCACTGCAACCCAGGCCATCACCAATCATCTTTACTTTTGTCTTGCTACTGGACTTCAATGATTCTGAAAGAGAATGAGGCTGATGACTTTGTGCAACTCTACCTCACTTAAATTCAATTCTCACATGAGTGAAGACATTGACACCATTGGTCCTCTTTGAAAATGAAAGACAAACAACAGAATGGTGCTTATTGTAATAATCAGAAAATTTTCTGGTCAGAGTTATCCTTGTTATAGCTACCAAAGCATCTTGAATGAGCTTAACACATCCATGGATGACATCTTGTTGGAGGAGAGACTTTATGCCTCCATTTCTCTCTCTTATGTCTTTTTTTATAGTCAAGAAACAATAAAGACAGAAGCATATTGTATAGTTTGCATCCTTTAGTCAATTGTAAGACCATTAAATATGCTCTGTTGAAGAATACTATTTGGGAAACCAAGTGTGTTCCCTTCTCACATTTCCATGAAGAAACACCCCGATGTATCTATCTGTAGATTATTCTTATAAAGATTTCATAGGGATGGGAAAGAAGGCACATGAATCTGTAGCTACTGATGTACTTTAATTGTTCTTTTTTGCATCAGAAAAAAATGTCCATGATTCTTTTTAATCTTTTGATATCTTATTTGAGAATCAATTTTTCAGTGTTCCAAAATTAGCATCACATTCAGGACAGGCTTCTTCTTCTGCTTATACCTAATCAGTTCTAGCTGATCAAGTTCATCTCCTCTAATATAGATAAAGTAAGCATGCAGAAACAACAAAAAGCACCCCACCAAACTTCTTTTTGATCATTGCATTTGTAATCAGCCTCAGCTCTTACTAGGATTTAGTACTCCTGGTGATATATTTTTACAACATAACTTTTTACAAATTTATTCTCTATTAATGCACACTAATATCTTTCATAAGTCCTTTAAAACTTGAGTTGACTGATGCAGTCATTCCCTGTGCAGTCACATTACTCTCTTTTCCATACTCATTGGAATAATTTATGTTTTCATCTTCATAATTTCAACCTTGAGAACTTTTCAACTCCCTTTGACTGACTCTCACAGAATATTAGAACACTGAACTATACTTTTCTCTGAACCCTTTCAAATACATTTTCTTTGAATTTAGATTATACATCAGATTGTCACTGAATTTACTTTCCTTCTCTATCCTGGTATCTATGATAGAACAACCACTTTCTTCCCAATATTTCTGTCATTTCTAATTCATCAATTAGTTATTCCTTGTTAGAATTGGGCCCAGAATGCTATTTCTTGTTCTATCAACATTTTTTTTCCACCAAATGAATTTTATAATTATTTTGCATAGTTCTATAAAGTAATCACATGGTAGCTTGTCTGGTACGGTAATTTATAATTTAAGTCATCACAAAGCAACAAGACATAACATGAAGAACAAATGTTACTCTAAAGCTTTAAGCTGTCTCCCCTTTTTTCTTTATTTAATTTTTTAGTTCCAAATTCTCTCCCTCCCTTTAATCCCTTTCCCACTCAATGAGAAAGAAAAAAATACAATAGTTATTATAATAATGAAGTCACACAAAGTTTGTTTCTGAATTAGTCATGTTCCAAAAGAGAAAGAGAGAGACAGAGAAGAGACAGAGACAGACAGAGAAAGAGAGAGAGACAGAGAGACAGAGAGACAGAGAGAGAATATGGTTCAATCTGCTCTCTGAGTTCATTAGCCTCTATTTGGAGGCAGATTGCATTTTTCATCATAAATTCTCTAGAGTTGTGGTGGATTATTTTATTGATCAGAGTTACCAAGTCTTTCATAGTTGATTATCTTTACAATTTGCTACTGCTGTGTAAATCCCTGATTCTGCTCACTTTATTGTATAAAGTTTAAGTCTGCCTAAGTCTTTCTGAAACCATCCCCTTCATAATGTCTTATAGCACAACAGTATTCTATCACATTTATATACCATACTTTGTTCAATCCTTCCCCAGTTGATGGGCATCTTCTCAGTTTCCAATTCTTTGACACCAAAAAAAGGGCTGATGTATTTTGAACATATAGGTCCTTTTCTTTTTGATCTCAATAGGGAAGAGGCCTAGTAGTGATATTGAACCAAAGAGTATACAGAGTTTTATAGTGCTTTGGGCATTGTTCTAAATTATTCTCCAAAACATTTGGACTTGTTCACAGCTCCACCAACAATGCATTATTATATGGATTTTCCCATATTCCCTCCAGCATTTGTCATTTTCCATTTCTGTCATTTTAGTCAATCTGACAGGTATGAGGTTGTACTTCAGAGTTGTTTTAATTTGCATTTCTCTAATTTTTAGTGATTTAGAGCATTTTTTCATATGACTATTGATAACTTTGTTTTCTTCTGCTGAAAACTGCTTGTTCAAATCTTTTGATTATTTGTCAGTTGGGGAATGTCTCATTTTTACAAATTTGGTTCAATTTCCTATCTAGTTGAGATTTGAGAACTTCATCAGAGATGCTTACTAACTAACATTTCTCTGAACATTTCTCCCCAGTTTCCTGCATTTCTTCTAATTTTGGCTGCATTGGTTTTGTTTGTGCAAATCTTTTTAATTTATGTAATCAGAATCATTCATTTAACCTCCTGCGAACTTCTCTACCTCTTGTTTGGTCACAAATCTTTCCACTATCCATAAATCTGAAGGTAATTTCTTCCATGCTCAATTAACTTGCTTATGATATCACCAATAACATTTCTCCAATTACTAAGACCTGTATTTGTGTAAAGAATGTATTGTAATTGTGTTCATATAGTTCCTATTTGTGTCTTGGCAGGTAGACTCCCAAGAATTTTCTACCATCTGTAGTTACTTTAAATGGAGTTTCTCTTTCAATTTTTTTTTCTGCTGATTTTTGTTGGTAATATATAGAAATGCTGATGATTTGAGTGGGTTTGTTTTATATCCTGCAACTTTGCAGAAGGTGTTAATTGTTTGACAAGTTTTTTAGTTGACTCTCTAGGGTTCTCTAAGTATACCATCATATTCTCTGCATAAAGAGATAGTTTGGTTTCTTCATTGTCTGTGCTCGTTATGTCAATGTCTTTTTATTGTCTCATTGCTATAGCAAGAATTTTTAGTACAATGTTGAATAGTAATGCTGATAATACTTCTTCCTTCACCCTGATCTTATTATAAAGGCTTCAAGTTTATCCTCATTATAGATATGCTTGCTATTGATTTTAGATAGATATTTCTTATAATTTTAAAGAAAGTTCCATTTATTCCTATGCTTTCTAGTGAGTTTTTTTTTAAACAGGAACAGGTATTGTATTTTGTCAAAAGCTTTTTCTGAATTTATTGAAATGATCATAGGGTTTGTGTCCTTTCTGTTATTGATATGATCAGTTATGCTTATAGTTTTCCTAATATTGAACCAGTATTGCATTTCTGGTATAAATTCCACCTAATCATAGTATATGATCTTTGTAAGAAATGCTTGTAATCTCTTTATTAGTATTTTGTTTAAAATGCTTGCATCAATATTCATTAGGGAAATTGGTCTCTAATTTTCTTTTTCTGTTTTTTTCTCTCCTTGGATATTCATTATCTTAATTATTATTCTTAAGAATATCGTTAGATATTCTTAGGTACTTATTCATTTAAAAAATTAAATAAATATCTATTATGTGCCAAGCACTGTGTTAAGTTTTGGGCATACAAAAATAGGCAAAAGATAGTCCCTACTCTCAAGGAACTTACAACATGTAAATAAATATATGCAAAACAATCTATGTACAGGGAAAATAGTAAATAATTAAAATTGAGAAAGTGCTGGAATTAAGAGAGGTTGAGGAAGGCTTCCTATAGAATGTAGCATTTTAGTTGGGACCTAAGGGAAATGAGGGAGGTCAGTAGTTGGAGTGGAGGAGGGAGAACTTTCCAGGCACGTGGGCCAGTCAAATAAAATGCCCAGAGTGGAAAGATGGAGTATCTTGCTCTTGGAAAAGCCAGGAGGCCAGTGTCACCGGATCAAAAAGTGCACATTGGGTAGTATAGCGTAAGAAGACTGAAAACATAGTGGGGATGGAGGAAGGGCGCGAGGCTATGAAGGGCTTTGAATACCAAACAGAGAATTTTGTTTTTGTTCCTGAACGCTGTAGGAAGCCGATGTAGTTTATTGAGTAGGGGGGTGACATAATAAGACCTGTGTTTTAGGAAAATCATTTTAGTGGTTAAATGGAGAATGAATCGGAGTAAGGAGAGACTCGAAGGAGGCAGATCCACAAGCAGCCTATTGCAATATTTCAGGTGTAACGTAATGAGGTACTAGAGTGTTGGCAGTGTCAGAGGAGAGAAAGGGGTGTATCTGAGGGATGTTTCAACAGTAAAATAGGCAGGCTTTGGCAAAACTTGGAAGTGGGAAGTGAGAGATGGTGAGGAATCTAGGATGACTCCTCGGTTAGAAGCTTAAGGGATAGGGAGTATGGTGTTGCTTTCTTTTTTTTTTTTGTTTTTGTTTTTGGCTAGGCAATGGGGTTAAGTGACTTGCCCAGGATTACACAGCCAGTAAGTGTTATATGTGTGAGGCCAGATTTGAACTCAGGTCCTCCTGAATCCGGGGCTGGTGCTCTATCCACTACACCACCTAACTGCCCCTTGGTGTTGCTTTCTACTGTAATAGGGAAGTTAAGTATTAGGGAAGGTTTGGGGAAAAGATAATGAGTTTTGTTTTAGAAGTATTGATTTTAATATGCATACTGGACATCTAGTTCATGATGTCAGAAAAGCAGTTGGAGATGTGAGATTGGAGATCAACAGAGAGATTGGGGCAGAAAAGGTAGTTTTGATCATCATCAGCATAAAAATGGCAATTAAATCCATGGGAGCTGATTAGATTATCAAGAGAAGCAGTATAGAGGGAGAAGAGAAGAGAATCCAGGACAGAA